ATTTCTTCAGCTCTCAATCACTGCATTATATGTTTGGATCATTTCAATCTCCTCTTACTGAGACAGATTATTGGAGATATAGAGCGACGACAGATATTTATATCATTTTATGTCAGTATCTGCTCTACTGTTATAAACATCTCATTGATTTACATCACAAGCATCAGAATTTCATCATATAAATATCAGCATATATACAAATATTTTTGAGTCTCTGAATAAAACTGAGCTGTTTTGTTCTCCATATTCTCACTGTATCAGACTATATGAGTCGTAAAAACCTGATGGATAGAACATATGCACTGTTTTTTGTTCAGATGACGTGGCTTTCTACGAGTGGCATGTTCCTGAAGGAGAGAGACATGAATCGGCTCTGAAGAGGAATAAAGAGAGTTTAATCGCCGAGCTCAAACTGTGGGATGGATACTTGGAGAAGGTCAGATTTTATTGATATTTATTGATAATATAAATCATGCATTTATGATGTCAGATTGCCGGTCTCATTGTGAATGATTCATCAGTTATTCTCTTCATCTAAATGTAATGATTGGCAAATAGTCATTGTTTTAGGCGGCTGTTGCAATTAATTGCAACCTAATGTCTTATCAGTAAAATGATTAGAGTTATGGAGGGTGAACTTGAACTTTGGCCTCCATGACTTTTACATTTCTTTCTGAAATGAAGCGCATTACAACAGCGTAATGGATAATGAATGCACGTGTTGATTGCAGCAATTCCTCATTAGTAGAGGAGATGCTGTTACTGTATTTGAGGGCATAATAATGAGCTTCTCTAACGATGAGTGATTTGTTCATAGATGGGTAAAGGCTCGTACCTCGCTGGCAAGAACTTCACTATGGCCGATGTGGTTTGTTTCCCCGTCATCGCATTTTTCCCGCGACTTCAGTGAGTGAATCGCTCTGGATATAAAGCGTTTTTCACATCTTCTCATTAATGAAAAGTTGTTGGTCAGATGCGTTATGTCATGAGTGCTTTATAAAATAATGATTCTTTGAGTTTGAAAGCAGTATCAGATCTTGAATGTATTATGAGGGTTAATGATTGATGCTGTCAGGTGAAGGTTCATGAGGCTGGTTTAATGTTTGATCTGGTTTCAGCTGTCCTCCGGAGCATTGTCCCAGACTGATGGAGTACCACGAGATGCTAAAGGACCGTCCCAGTGTTAAAGCCAGCTGGCCTCTTGAGTGGCTGGAGAAACCCGAGGGTGAAGACACGTTCAAGAACCTGTGAAGAACATCAGGACTGCCCAAACAACACTTAATTCAGTTTTATGTGTTCAACTTACTGTATTAAATCACAACCCTTGACTGTGATCAGTCCCCTTTACAGTGCAGCAGCTTCAGTTTGTCTGATGTTTGATAATTAACCTCAGTCATTTATCTTTAACCCAGCGGGCCGCTTTATTTGTGAACTAATTTTTAAAGATAAAGCTCATTGTTATTGTGTATTGTGGCCTTTAATGATTTATGTCAACAGCTTTTATTGTTATTGTTTTGGGACTAACTAAGTTTTATCCTGTTCATGCAAAATAAAGAACATATTTACCATCATTACAACAAAAAAGAAAGAAATGCGGTTCAGGTTCAAATTATGAGCACTATACAAGTTCAACTTACTGTAAGTGCCCCTATTATGGATTTTTGAAAATTACCTTTCATGCAGTGTGTAACACAGCTCTAAGTGAATGCAAACATCCTGCAAAGTTTTAAATCTGAAAGTGCACCGTGTATAAAGTAATTGTCTCTCAAAAGAAAGAGTCGACTCTGAATCATTTAAACGAGTCATTTTAAAAACGAATCCCAAGCCGTTTCATGTTGACGTCATGTACCCCTAGTGGCATGTGACATAATTACATGAGGTCATAGAATCATTATAAAAAGGTTTAAAGCGTTTTTTATTATCATAAATATTTACTGACACTAATATAATAGTGCTGGGGCACTGCCCCAAAAGAGGGTGACCACCAGAGACAAAAATAATCCCTAAATCTGTGGTACAATATCAGAAAGTATTAAGCTGAAAATGCTATTGCTACTTGATTTAACCTTCACATTAATTTAGTTGGTGTGACCTAATGTTTTTAAAGGGGTCATGAGATGAGAAATCAAATTTGCCTTGATATTTTGGCATATAAGAGGTCTTTATATCATTAAAACATCCTGCAAGTTTCATAGCTTAAAACGTCGTCCTCGTTATGAACGAAGCATTTATTTAATCAAGCTCCAAAAACGGGATAGCTGTGGATAGCTTATTTTTAATGGCATCCCGGATTGTGTCCGAGGATTTTGTTTCGTAATCGAGGCAGTGTTGTGCAAAAAAACTGTATTTAACGTTATAAGTAAACCTCGAGGAATGTTAAAATAATAATAAATAAAGTCAATGTCTGGACCTCTTTAAAAATAAAAATCCCAATGAACTTTACTTTTCAAAATGAGTAAAACATAATTGTTCCTATAAAGCGTAACAGCTATATGAGGGTTAGCGTGTTAGCTTAACACAGCATCAAAACCTGACAATTTATGAGATTAAAACATAGATTGTATAAAAAAATGGACGTAGTGTCCGTGACGTCACCAGTAGATTTCCGAAGAGCGTTTTTGAAGCTCAAAAGTGGGCAGAGCCGGCCATCGCCATCTTGGCAGCGCGTCACCGCACGTCACTCCCGGATAATCGAAAATGGGCAAAGAGGCGGGAGCAGGTTGCTGAAGCCACGCCCACCTAGCTCGACGGTGGTGACAGCAGCGGCAATCCACCTGTCACTCAAGTGGCCACACCCTTAATTATGCAGAACTTTAAGGCTTAATTTAATTTAAACGGATGAGTTATAAAAAAATTCATCCCCCTCACAGTTGTCATGAAGGGCAAAATTAGCTATATAGACCAAAATAATTTTTTGAACCAGGCTGTAAAAATGTTTTTTCTGCTGTAAAGTTGGACATTTTAACATGGGGAGTCTATGGGATTGACTCACTTTTGCAGCCAACCTCTAGCGGCCAGTCGATGAATTACAGTTCAAGTCACTTCCGTGTTGGCATCACGAGAGAGAGCGATCATGTTTTTGCTCCATACTAGTTTTCAAGTGATTGAAGTAATCTGATGTGATTTATCACAGAATGAGCCAGAAAAAAAAAAATTATTTTAATATTATATACAGTGAATGTAGATTAGCACTGCATTGGAAATATACTTTATTCTTATGAAAACACCCGAGATTGATTTAAAAACAGAGAAAAAAACATATAATCACTATCGTCAGTATATTTTCTCAATGTTTCATTAGTCTAAACGTCTCGATGTTTACGTTATTCAGCTGCAGCAATCTCTGAAATTAGATCTTATGAATTAAAAGTCCCGAGGAACTTTTTTTAGTCGATCTCTATCATGACGACCGTACAGGAGCATATTAAAACTAGTAATTCACTAATGTAAACAAAACAAGGCTTTAGGGTGCGGATTACCCAGCAAATATAAAACGTTCCCCTAACGTTAGTTTTTGGTTCCCGTGGGAACGTTAAGCCCCGTTCACACCAAGAACGATAACTATAAAGATAACGATATTAGCGTCCACACCAGCGAACGATATCGTCTGTTTATTCTAAGCGCACATGCGTCTGCCACTTTAAATTCTTGAGCTCGTTACAGCAGGATGGATTCTGATTGGCTGTCAGTATTTTATCGTTCATCAGCTGGAAAAAAATCGTTTTGAAAGTGATCACAACGATATCGTTCCTCTGTATCGTTATCGTTATAGTTGTGGTGTGAACTCTGCTATTCTTTAATATTGAGAACGATTTTTAGAACTATATCTTTATCGTTATCTTTATAGTTATCGTGCTTGGTGTGAACGGGCCTTTAGAATAACATTAGAATAACGCTCTACAAACCAAAAACTAATGTTCTTGGAACGTTAAGAAAACTTTCCTGGCTAACCAAAAACAAAACATAAAAAAAGAACGTTCTGGGAACCAAAAATTGTTAGCTGGCTAGTAGGATTAATAATATCGTTTATGTTAGGCTACTGACGATTGTTTTGTACGTGTTAATAGTGGAAACCTTAAAGTTTTGAATGTGTTTTGAGCAGATCAGCAGAAATAATTTAAACTCGTATTATTATTTAATGTCAAGGTATTTATTTGATGAGTAAAAATAACCGATGCAGTCACACGGTCATTATAATTTTGCAAAATAAACCCCTTCATGGTTTTACAAGACACCGCGAATCACCATATCATGTTTGTGCGACAGTAACCGTGTGCTTTATCTTTTACAGTGGCTACGTGTACTTTTTGCATTTCTCTAAGCTTGATAATGTAATGTGATGAAGTTTCTCATTTCATCCGATGCCTGCCTGTGACTAACCGTCATAAACTGACTAGTACAAAAACAATTAGACCGCAAAACATCTGGGTGGCCAAACATGTTTCAGTGGGGGCCAGTACACAAGGCAGCATATCAATCAATCTTTATTACAGACTCAAGGTCCAAATAAAAAAAAACAAAAAAAAAAAACAAGACAATAGGACATTTTTTTTTTCTTTTTTTTTTATTGCAATTTTTAGAACAAAGAACATATAAGGGCAATACCATTTAAACTGAATGAAAACAAATACTTAAAATAAATAAATAAAAACTAAATAAGAAAAGCAATAAAAAAAAAACTAACGTCTGTAAACAAGTACAAATAATTACAAATTATTCAAAGAATAGATTTAAGGCTTTAAAGTAATTTACAGTTTTTTTTTGCTTTGTTATTTCTTGTTTTTTTCAACGTATACAAGTAGTGACCTATTTCTATTCTGAAATGAGTCAAATTAGGTTTTTTCACTGCCCATTTACATTTGTGAATAAAGAATTTTCCATATATAATGAGTAAATCAATAGGACAACATATACAACCCACAGCATCTACCGCCGCAATAAAATATATACACATGATTGGTCGAGCGAAGTCAGCTGACCCGTGTCATGTGATCCAAAATGTCGAATGCATGCGGAACTACAGACTGAGATCATCAGTCTCCTCCTGTAATAGAGTTAACGCTTGGCGTGTTAGGACGCATATTCGCTTTGTTTTTAATGAGAGCTCTTGAGTGAACAGTAATTACACTCGTGTGGGATTATAAATATAATGTCAAGATGAAGCAAGCTGTCTTACTGTTTCTCATAACACTGTCTGCCTGTGTGCACACGGCGTTAGCGGGTATGTATGATGTTTTAAATATACACAAATAAAAGATAACAAAGAGAAGAACAGGGAAAAGTTAATATCATTATATTTACAAATGCAGAAGTGACTATCAAAGCTCCAGCAACAGTGAATCTACCGGAACAATCTTCAGAAAACATCACCATTACACTGAGGTACGATTGTAAGCCATGATTTGATTATTCATACTCTCTATGTAAAGATTAAATTTATGGGTTGGGAATCATTTAAATATAATTTGGCTTTTATGTGTTTACATTCACAGTTCACCATTGAACACGTCTGTAACGGTTTATTTCAATATCACGTATAAATCAAAAAATGTCTCTTCAATAATTCTACTGCCTGATGAGGTATGTGCACCTATTTCAACCTATCAGATTTTAATACACCCGTCTGACTTAATCATAGTCAAAATTTGATGCTAAATACAAAGATTCTGTTGTTATTACAGTTTAGTCTAATAGGAATTGGTATGTTTTGATGCTTGCTTTCATGTAAAATTCTGGACTGGAGCTTATAATCTTATTTATAATGTTTGGATTTATAATATTAGCCATCATATATCATAACATCTCATATATACAGGTGCATCTCAATAAATTATAATGTCGTGGAAAAGTTCATTTATTTCAGTAATTCAACTCAAATTGTGAAACTCGTGTATTAAATAAATTCAATGCACACAGACTGAAGTAGTTTAAGTCTTTGGTTCTTTTAATTGTGATGATTTTGGCTCACATTTAACAAAAACCCACCAATTCACTATCTCAACAAATTAGAATACTTCATAAGACCAATAAAAAAAACATTTTTAGTGAATCGTTGGCCTTCTGGAAAGTATGTTCATTTACTGTACATGTACTCAATACTTGGTAGGGGCTCCTTTTGCTTTAATTACTGCCTCAATTCGGCGTGGCATGGAGGTGATCAGTTTGTGGCACTGCTGAGGTGGTATGGAAGCCCAGGTTTCTTTGA